GTGGCAACCTCTCAAATACTGGAATATTGCTATCATGTCCCCCGACCCAGTCCTTCTTTTCTCTAGACTAGCCAAACCCAAATCCTACAACAGTTCTTCATATGTTTTAGTTTCCAGGCGTTAATCATCTTAGTTGTTTTCTTTGCACTTTTTCCAAAGTCTCAACATCTTTTCTGTAATCTGACCAAAACTGGATGCAATATTCCAGGTGTGGTCTTACTAAGACTTTATGAAGCGGTACTAATACTTTACGTGATTTTGATTCTATGCCTCTGTTTATACAACCAAGGATTGTATTAGCTTTTTTGGCTGCTGTCACCCACTGCTGACTCATATTTAAGTGATCATCCACTAGGACTTCAAGCTCCCTCTCTCAGTTTCTGTTTTTGAGGCAGGTTTTGCCTAATCTGTATTTGTACCTTTAGTTTTTCTTGCATAAGGGTAAAACCTTGCTTTTCTCCACATTAAATTTCATTTTGTTGGATAGGGCCCATTGTTCAAGTCTGTCAAGATCTTTTTGTATTCTGAGTTGTCTTCTGGGGTATTGGCTATTCCTGCCAGTTTAGTGTCATCTGCAAATTTGATGAGTTCCCCTTCTATTCACTCATTTAAGTTATTTATGAAGATATTGAAGAGTACTGGGCCTAAGATGGAACCTTGTGGTACCCCAGTGCTTACTTCCCTCCATGTAACAAACATTTCATGTAACAGATCTGGGAGAATCCTGTGCATGAGACTTTGGAAAGCCTCTGTTACTTAGAACATACCATGGGATAGCCCAGGCTCCTTCAGCCTGGCACTCTGCAGATAATTCTTGAAATTCCCAGATTTCAGCCACCTTCTAAAGTTACTGTTACTGCTCAAGCCATTAAAGGGCATAAGGCTATAAAAAGCTAGAATGTTATTTTTATTACATGGTAACAGACAGTACTTGTTCTTTTTTCAGACTGAGAAGTAAACATGGGACCCAAATAAATCCTGACCTTCTGTATCTACGAACAGCATATTAGAACCACCTCACTGAAATTAATATACTTCTTCCTTACTCCCACCCCCAAGTGAAAAATGAAAATGCAGGTTTCTTGAATTTCTTGAGTCCTGATCTACACTATTTCTTTTTATGAGAAAGACAAAAAGAAAAAATGTGTTATAGTATGGTACTTATTAAATGAAGTCTTTAGTGTGAGCCTGACAAGGCACACTTTTATTAAATATGTTTCAGTATGATGTCTGATTGTAGCATCTGATTACTAGAGTACTTAATTTAAAAATACTAAACAGTGCAATTCC